ATTCTGGCTGGGGAATTCTGGAAGTTGAAGTCCACACATCTTCAAGTTGCCAAGCTTGAGAAACACTGCATTAGAGGAAGACATTAATTGTTATCCTTAGATTTGTGTCCAGTTCAGTAAGTCCGAGGCTGTGATTTACTACCATAATGTTTAGCCAGAGCTACCGAAGAGTTTTAGAAGGTACCATTTTCCTTCACATTTCAAAAGCCAAAGCTGAACTTGGACTGAGGAGCCACAATTTCACAACTGGAACTCAAGGATTCAGTCAGGGCCTTGGATACTCACCTTATCTGTCCTGCAGTTGTTTAAACCCAGATTGTTTGCAACAGCCACCTTTCCATCCAGCACCTGTTGTTCTCGCCGTAGCTGTTCTTTCATCTGCCGGGCCTCCTGGATCGCCTTGGTAACAGCATCGTGATCATTTAAGTAACCTGATGATGTGATGGAGGAAAGGATATCTAGGAAGAAGGAAGAAGGCAAAGGGGGCACAAACAGAAATACGATTACCGTCAAAACGTTCAGATGTTTTCTCTTGCAGCATCTGGGTGCGCTGAAAATTACAAGAGGTCAGTCTTCTAGTTTAATTTATTTGAACATGAAAATACTGAAACAAACAAGGGAGTGAATGGATCGATACAAGAACAAGGGAACTGTCTACACCCTTACTTGGGAGTAAGCCCATTGAACTCAGCAGCAGAACATCGTGTGGCTGGTATTATTTGGAAAGCGTTTAAGCGTTTGAGGATGTGAAATGAAGGAATAAATAAATCTGTGACAAAGAAGTCAAGAAAATGGCTTGTTTCTTCTCTCTACCTTGCACACAAATATGCACCTATGCTTTTACACATTAAAAAAAAAAATTCAAATGATTCCTGGAAGGCTATGGGTATGTAAAATGTTTTGTCACAGGATGTTTTGATCCTGGAATGGGCTTTCTGCATTTTCAGAGAGGTCCACAATATGCCTGTTTTGAATATAGATCACTTCCAGAATGTTTGAATTGTCTCGTTCCACAGTCAGAATACTTTGTGGCAGAACATTTTCACACTTCTCCTGAAGACCATATTAGATACCGCGTTTCTCTGATTTTGGCAGCAAGCCATTACTATTCCTACTCTCTATACAACTAGGTAATCTGCTTAGCAACTACACGACTGAAGAGTCCAAGTGACTTAAAGACTAACATTTTTATTACAGACTAGACTTCCACGAACAAAAGTCTCGCTTGAGCAGGTGTGCTTAGCGTTAATTCAGTTGGCAGTTTGTATCTGTGTGAAGCAAAGAAATGCAAAGAAAATAAAGATTGTTAAAATAAGTGGAGACAAATACAAAGAAATGCCAAAAATCAAAACCCAAAAAACAAACAAACCCAAAATCATAGTGTTATGGAATAAAATGAATGAACTGGGATTTGAATAAAGAAGTACATGCAGGAATGGGTGTGAAATGGATTCCCTTCTCATTTTGATGTTAGCTGAGACTTTCAGATGGGTACCCAAATCACAACACATCTAAATGCCAAAATCTACAGTTTGCTGGACAAAAAAAGGGCATATAAAAAAACTGTAAAGGGGCATTATTTTACAGGAAATCATTTTATATATATCGGAATCTGAAACAAATATATGGGTAAAAAATAAGAAACGTAGTGAAGTCAGGCTCTTTCCTAGCTGTTTTGTGTGTATATGGCTGGATTCAGAAACGGGGTCAAGCCGCAGTAGAGTTTGTTTACGGTTTAGGAAGTTGTGCGAATCCACTCGCTATGGTTGATTCAACAAGCCACACTGAAACCGTGGTCCAGCAAGCATTCCCCATCTACCTTTCCCTGATGGCTCAGGGCGTTCTTTGCCCACCCTCACAGCCCAAAAGACTGAATAACTTCTGCGTCTTCGAAAACAATCCTAGTGCATCACTTCATATCTCAGAAGGGTCTGCTTGGCTACTTTTCCAAACTTAATGCTGGATTAAATGGACCTTAATCCCACTAATCCATTTATTTATTTATGCCCCCTTTTATAATTTGGAGAAATTTCTTTTTTCTTTTCAGATAACTTTATTAATTTTTTTAAAAGGTAAAAACTAACAAGAACTAATATTTAGAATAAAGAAAAGAAAGAAGAAAAGAGAGAAGAAAAAGAGAAAGCCAAAAGTAGAGGCAGGCAGGCAGGCAGGCAGGCAGGCAGGAAGGAAGGAAGGAAGGAAGGAAGGAAGGAAGGAAAGAAAGAATATAAAGAAATAGATTTCAATTTTCTTTACAGCAGCTATATGTATAAATGTAAATTAACCTCTTACTCCATGGTTACAGCATGACTTACATTTTTTTCTATAATCTATTTTTTTTCTAATCATCAACACCATATATCATGATTTCATTTTTTTCTGTTTCACGCAAAAAATCTATAAGGGCCTAGTCATCATTAAACTTAGATAATGTCTTTTCTCTAATCAATGCTGTTAACTGGGCCATCTGAGCGAGTTCCATCACCTTCACCATCCATTCCTCCATTGTGGGTAATATCAAATCTTTCCACCTCTGAGCATATAATAGTCTCACTGCAGTTATCACGTATAAAAACAAAGTTCTGTGACTTTTTTCCAACTGTTTATCAATCAGTCCTAAAAGAAAAGTCCCTGGTTTCAGTTGCATATTAATCTTTAAAATCTTCTGAATTAATATATGTAATTGAGTCCGAAATTTTCCAGCTTTTTTGCATGTCCATCAAACAGGGTAAAACGTCCCCTCTTGTTGTTTACATTTCCAACATAAATTTGCAGTGTGCATGGAGGCAGCACTTGCAGGCAAATCTCCACCAAGGAATGAATTTGAAGTACCTTTATACATTCTAGACAATTTTTCCAGTGACATATACTAAACAGTTTGGAGAATTTTCAAGGCAGCCTACACGTAGCCAAGTAAACAACAATGTTGCTGTTGCTGTTGTTTTTAAAAGCAGCAACCAGCTCACAAACCCTGGGCCTGCAGAAAAATTTAAACTTTTCATTTAAAGTTCATTAACCTGGAGGCCTAGTGAGCAACTGAAGGATAATTTCTACCAAGGGCATCTGCAGGGCAGGTCAAAAAAGTCAAGGCTGTGGCTACCAACTTGACTTCTTTATCAACCCCCGCACCCACCAAAAGGACAGCTCTGGTGAGATTTCCTTAGGAAACTCTCTCTTGGGTTAGATTTGACTCTGGTGATTCTGTGGACATGTGGCGATATTGTTTCTTTGACAACTGTATGCAAGCATAGTCCTTCGTCTCCCATGCAAGTATGAGTCAGGTCTGATCCTGCTCCTCCTATAGCAGTCCCTTCTTATGTTTTCTCTTGCTGTGCAATTCAGCTCACACAGGTAGTCCTCACTTAACAACAGTAATTGGGACCAGAATTTCTGTCACTAAGCGAAGCGGTTGTAAAGTGCGAAGTCACGTGACTGCACCGCTTAGTGAGGGCAATCCCTGCAGTTCCCATTGCCGTTAGGGTTAGGCCTCAGAACCCTTCTGAAGCATCGCAAGAAGGCAGCGCATAATTTGGAGAAGTGTGCATATGATTTGGAGAGGGGCATGCGCGGCCTCGGGAAGAAGGCCGGGTGCGTCTCATCAGCAGCAGGAGGAAGAAGACAGTGGAGGTCAGCTGGGGGCGGCAGGGCCTGCAGAGTGCAGGGTGGTGGGGATGGCTGGGGCGTGCCACAGGGGTTGAGGTGGCACTCCTGGGCAGTGCCGTCAGTGCTGGGTGTGAAGTAGAGGCCCAGGATGGTGGTGGCCAGCTCAGACTGCTGAAGGCCCCAGTCCTCTACTTCAGACCCAGCTCCACCGGCAGGGTGCCACTGTGCAGAGTGGCCAAAAGTGCAAAGATGGGGGGAGTTGAAGCACCCCTGCAGTTGTAAGTGTGGGTGGGCTGCCATGCACCTGAATTTTGATCAAGTGACCCTGGGGGCACTGCAACAGTGGTAACTGTGGTGGTAATGGATGTAAGTACCATTCGTTCAGCACTGCCATAACTCTGGTTGCTGAACGAATGGTTATTGACTTATTACCTATAAGTCCTTTGAGCATGAAGGCAACATTCATTGCAGCACTGATCCAGCACTAAATTAAGTAAAATAAATTCTAGAAATACATTACCCGGAATACGTGAGACAGGTTTATTAATTCTGTCTGTGCAGGGGAGGAAGGATGGAATGAAAATGTGTGACAATGCTCCCTTAAACCTCAGAAATACCTTAATAAAGCACAGGTGATGCTCCTCGGCTACGAGATGAAAACTCTGCCCCTGAATGTCGTCCTCCGATACATTAATGCACGTGTGTGCACATACACACAGAGAGCAGTCCTGACACCACCTGCTCTTCAGTAACATGCAAGGAGCCCTGATTCTCGATCTGCTAAGGCTTTGTATAATGTTCATGTCTTGATGCCGTTCACACACGTACGCTCACATGCATACAGTATGCACCCACAAGACCCCCCGTGCTAGGTTATAGCTTCGGTCGGAGCTGAATCGCTTCACTTTCAAAATGTCATGAGCTTTTATTCTAACGCTCTTTTGTTTCAAATCCACGCCTTGGGGGTCTCCCTGCTTGATCAGGAGACGTGACGAAGATCTGCATGTGCACAAGGATGCTCGGAATAAAAGCTTCATACTCTAGGATCTATTTATGGGCGATGTGGGTTGGAAGTGAATATTGGCCATTTTACACACAATCCCTTTTCCGTCCTTTTTAAACTAGAACTCCTTCTTCCTTCCCTTCCCTTTTTTTTTTTCCTTCCCTTTTAAAGCCCTGAAAACTGTAATATGAAATTGACCGGAAAAGAGGCTTCTGTTTGTGACATGAGGCTAAATCTAACCAGATCCATTGGTGAATTGTAACAGATGGTGGGGCTGCGAGACAGAAGGCTGCCGCTAATCACGGGCAAAATGACCGGCTTGCCACAACATGTTCCATGGATTCCAGCAAACTTTACGCCCTAATCCATTTTTAGAACAAAAAACATCTGGGCCATAAATCCTCTAATCTGCCAAAACATGCTATTAAATCCCATGATTTGTTGAAAAACACCAAGATTAAAGAAAGGAAATATAAAATGGCTAACTGCCGTGTTAGGGAAGTGTTATTAATACTCTTTTCTTTTGTCTCAATTATGAATGTTGTGTTCCTAAAGAGCCTTGTCTAATCATGTCAGATTACACATCCTCGTTGTATTGCTTGCGCCTTCTATCTGATCCGCCGCTTGCCAAAGAATGCACAACACTGTCTCCTTGCACACCGCTTTGAAACCTTATGGGGGGAGGGAGGAACCGGTGTCAGATTGGTTCAGGCTAACACGGCTAGAATCTCTGGACCGCTGCCACAGTGTGTGTGTGTCTGTTGTTGTTTTTTTTTGCTCCCCTTAAAATGCTTTTTAAAATCATTTTGAAAAGAACGGAGCTGGCAGTTCTAGCTTCCTTTAGAAACTGAA